GGAATCTTTTTTTTTTTAATTAATTCAATCTCTTTACTTGTTTAGTTTTTCTATTTTTTGTTGAGATAGTTTCAGTAGTTTTTATTTTTCTAGGACTTTGCCTATTTCACCTAGGTGATCTGATTTGTTGGTATACAATTGTTTATTGTATTCCCTGAGAGGGAAGTTAGTGTCACAAATATTACTGTCTACAGATAGGCACTTTTAGAAAATGCTCCTTGGATTGTTGCAAGACTTTATTTTCAGAGTTCTGAAAAAATTAATTTTGAGAAAATTTACCACTGTGCTTAATGCTTTTATGGAGAAGTAAAATTTGGGGTGTGCTTCTGATTAAAATGTCTGTTATAGGCCCTGGCTGGTGTAGCTCAGTGGATTGAGCACGGACCTGCAAACCAAGGGATTGCAGTTCTACTCCCAGTCAGGGCACATGCCTGGGTTGCGGGCCAGTTCCCAGCAGGGAATGCATGAGAGGCAACCATATATTGATTTTTCTCTCCCTCTCTCCTTTCCTTCCCTTCCCCCTCTAAAGATGAATAAATTAAATCTTTAAATATTTTTTTATAAAACTTTGTTACATATCTATTCCATGCTCTTGTGGGTTTTGTGTGTGTGTGTGTGGAAGGGCTAAAATGTAATTTAATAATGATAATTTTAGTGCCTCGGGCTCTTCAGGAGAGTTGGGAAGCCACACTTGGGAACTCTCATTCAGGAACTATTTCAAAAATCACAGAACTGGCTCCATAAAGACACCCTGTTTCTCCTGCTTTTTCTCCAGCTCTACACAAATACTGATGACAAATGGCTTTTGACATTGATATCACCAATACCAGTTACTGGATATTGCTGCTAGAACCACTGCTCCTTTGGAAAGGTACCTGCCACCATGGCTGCCCCCTGTTCTAGCATTTGATTTATTAGGTCCTGTTTCAAAATATGATGTAGGAGAATTGCAACTGATACCGCTGAGATCATATATTTATACTCTAGCAGTAAGGGAGCTCTGGACAGTGATTTTCCATTTCCATATGTTAGAAAACAATCTTCATAGAAACAATCAGAAATCAAGGGTGAAGAAACTATCTTCATTTCTTTTTTCCAGGCATGTGAGCCTCCTTACCTTTCTAGGACTATATTAAATTCTGAGATTGAGGTTCCCTTAACCACCCAGGTGAGGAACCTGGGCTGTCTCGTCTTGAAAGTGTAGCCCTTTGAAAGGGTTTTGATGGAGTAATTAGGATATAGGTTTCTATCTGGGGGTTGGACCTACACTTTGACTGTCATGTTATTCGTATACAAGGCCATCAAAACCCAGCTTTGAGTTGCTAGGCTTACTTTTCTGGGTTTTGACCTTCTCTTAGATTTTAGCCAGTTTCATGTCTTCTCTCTTTCTCTTTCTCACTCTCTCTCTTGCTTTCTCCTATTTTCACCTGCTTTCAGTTTTTTTTCCCAAGAGAACTTTTTTCAATTACAGTTTATATTCAATATTATTTTGTATTGGTTTAGGGCTGTTTGTTTTTTTAAGAAAATATTAAAATTTTATTTCTCCTGCTTGTCTTTAGGATTGGTTTGAATTATTCAGGCCATCCATATTTGCGAAAGTAAATACTTTTGAAGAAATTTTATACCTTTTATCTTATGTTGGGGGGACCAAAAACACCCCAGAATTTACTTATAAAAAGTGTATTTATTCTTACATATTTAAACTTGTCACCTTCAAAGTACTCTTTATTTGATGCAATACACCTATTGGTATGCTTTTTCCACTGCTCAAAAACAGTTTTTCAACTTATTTTGATGACTTTTAGTGCTTTTGCCATTTTTTGTTTCACCTCTTTCATGTTGGCAAAAGATTTCCCTTTGAGCACTTTTTTTCATCCAGGGAAACAAAAAAATCACTGGGGTGAGGCTGGGTGAATAGAGGGTGGGACACAGGGGCCATCCTGTTTTTGGTTAAAAAAACTGCTGAACACTCTGTGGGGGTATGGGTGGGTGCATTGTCATGGTGGAAGAGTAACTCACCTGTTTGCTATGCATCAGGTGAGTGTAAATCACTCATCATGAAATGGCAAATGTACTGAAATTCTTCGAAAAAAGTCACTGAAGCTGAATGCAGCCTCACACAATGCTAACTGGTACACTGATACAGATGGGTTCCCAGAACACTCACCTAATGGGGGAAGCCTATACTACAAGGAGCCCACCCTCCAGAAGATAACTGAAGTTTTGGAGAACCCCATTTGTACATGTACATCTGTGTAGATACTCATACTATATGTAGGACTGTGCTAATACATGGAAATGTGAATATGTAATGCAAAATAAAAGAACAGGATTATGATATTAGAAGCAATTCATGGCATGATGAATCTGAGAACCTTCAACATCTTCACATGCTTCCCCCTCCCTTTCTAATGGCAAGAAATGGAGTTAATAAACTGACCATTCTTAGGTTATACTAAGAGTTTGTATACCTTTCCTAAGAGAACTGTCAAGAGAACAGTAATTAATGCCTGTATATTTCCTGGTTGAGTGCTTGATTGGACCTGGCTGAGTAGCTCAGTTGGCTAGTCATCCCGCTTTGTCTAGTTTGTGGGTTTAATTCCCAGTGAGGGAACATACAAGCAGCAACGAATGAATGCATAGGTAAGTGAAACAACAAAACAATACTTTTCTAAACCAGCCTTTTGTTATCTTCAACATGGTAAATATATTTCTAAAATCCTAGAAGTTCACCCTTATATGAGGGGTATAGTCCCAAGACCCCCAGTGGAGTCTGAAACTGGTATGTACTGTTTTTCTATACCTACTTACTTACAATAAATTTTAATGTATAAATGGTAAGATTAACATTAACTGATAAAATAGAACTGTAACAACCTGCTGTAACAAGTTATGTAAATGTAATGTGTCAGTAACAGGCAAGAATTTTTTCCCTTCACAATTTCACATTTACTTGATTTTAGCAAAAACTCAGCATATTTTTTCTGCCCTTATATCTAGAATTGTCCCTTTTTCACTAAAAGGAAGTATTGTATGCCAAGGGCTTCTCTTTGGCATATCTGAATTCCCAGCATCACTACTATTGATCTTTGGGGTCATTATAACTAAAATAAATTACTTGAACACAAGCACTGCAACACCATGACAGTTGACCCAATAATTGAGACAGCTATGAAGTGACTAAGGCAGGGGGGCCATATACAGCAAGGACATGCTGGACAAAGGGATGATTCACATCTAGGTTGGGACAGAGCAAGATAGCACGATTTTATTATGCTATTCAAAATGGTACGCAATTTAAAACTTATTACCTCTGTAGTTTTTTAGTCTTTTAATTTGATGTTAGAGACAGAAACGTCAACATGAGAAACATGGGTTGCCTCCTGCATGCACCCTGACAGGGGATCAAACCTGCAACCTTTGGTGTATGGGACAATGGTTCAACCAACTGACCCACCCAGCCAGGGCTGGTATTTTCTATTAGCTAACTGCTCCAACTTGAAAAATCAGGGGACAAATTGGTTTCCCACAGGGCTTTTGTGAGACTGGCTATTACCATCTCTCATCAATAGTCACCCTATTGAGTATTCAGCCAATACACACAAATACCTAAGTAGCATCTGAAGAAACTTTTTGAGCAACTCATCAGTGACAACAAACTCAATAAATTGTTTTGTTTGCCATAAAAACAAAGTTTCAAGAACCCTTTAAACTAGATGGCTTTCAAAGTCTGTAATTTCCCTGAAACTTTATGTAAATATTTATGTATAGACATGTTGGGTTTATTTGAAGAGGTCTGCAGAGTTGATAGTGTTTCTCAGATACTTCTAACTTGTACTGATTTTTGATAAACCATAATCTTACACACTTTAAAAACTCTAGTAAGGTCACATTATGTTTTCAAAGTATACCTCAGTCCTACCACCCTGAGATTGACATGCCTCCCCCCAAGTGGTACACCTCTTAGATGAATACTGGTATGAGTAAAACCAAATATTAAACTACCACTTAACACAAATCAAGTCTCCAGAATGTTCAGCATTACCCTGTAATTCCCAGAACACCACTGTATTCTTTCCTACAATTTGCAAAAGGTAAAGTCAAATGTGAATTATGCTGTTATTCAACCAAAACTTGCTAAAATTCCACACCAAATTTGATTATTTCAAGTTAACAGCCCGTTTTTATGGCCAATACTCTGCTGAACATGAAAGATAACGAAGTCGCATTACTTTTGCTCAAAAAGTTGAGACAATAATGGTAAGTGACCATTCTATTAGGTTAGAAAGTCTGACGGGGGACTTTTTAAAGAACATTATCCTCATTTTAATACTAGGAATCAATTCAAATGACATACACACACTCATCTCCTAAAAATTTGTTTACATATCTGCAGTGTCTTTACCTTTCCAACTAGTTAAAGTATCTTGTGGTTGACGTCCTATGAAATCTTGGTAGTGATTTTTCAAGATGTCTTTATTTCTATTAATAAAGATCAGCAAAGGGTACAGTCTGTCACCATTATGGAAAGATACATGGAAGAGAATAAAAGCTGTGTCTATGTTAGGTATCCCAATAGAAAACTTACTTCTGTTAGGATAAGTAACACAAAACTTGACTCAAACAATTTAGGAAGCATATTTAACATGATATATAGATTAGCTAGTTTATTATAGGCACTTCAGAACTTCTACCCACACCCTCAAATGTTAAATCACTTTGCTTAGTTCCAAGTACTTCAGAATGAAACCTTAATACTACTGTTCACTGTTATAACAGAGGTGTCTACAGCAGCAGCCTTGGCTTTTTTATGTCAAATTTACATGTTGGCATTCATAGAGCCACAAATCCAAGTTGTCTGGTCTAAAGCACCTAGTTAAGTGAAAACACACAAAAGCATACTCATTCCCGCTCCAATTCTTTGTAACAGATCTCAATCACCTCCAGATGTAGTGTATTTCTTAAGTCATATATATTAAAGCTTGATTGAAAAGTTTGGATTGTTTTAAAAAGCCTTTATTCATTTTTGATCAGGGAAAGGACAATCTCAGTGTCAACTTGTCACCTAATCATAAACTTGAACTTAAACAGGATTCACTGCCCTAAAGACAGTACACTTACTGACTTTGACAATGTAACTTAAAACAAAATATCCCTTTTGTTCTCTAGGGTTGTTATGTTTAAAGAATAAACAATCCCTTACAAAACAGCCAACACTGGTAACTTGGCCTAAATAGGAAAACAGGAACATAACAGGCCAACAGCATTGCAACTCAGTAGCGCAGCAAGTACAAACATCATTGGAACAAAGTTGCAGGTGCCAAATAAAAACGGGATAAAAAAGTTTACACTTTAAGGTGAGGTCAACATGTGAACACATATGCCAGTCCTAGTAGCTAACATGGAACCATAAAGACAAAACTTAGAAAACCTTAAATCCACTACATTTAATGTTAAACTCAAAGCTTGGATTTACCCAAGAAATCCTCCAAAATCTAGAGCAAAAACTGCCACTAATGCACCAGGAAGATCTGTATTTAATGACAAGGTCACAATTGCGATTTTCATTAACGTGACTAAAAGCATACTGTTTCCCACTATTTAGAAAACAAAATCTACTACCATGGCTTTTTCTAAGAGCTCACACCACACTAACAGTCAACACCCAATATAGCTTCTTAAGAATACTCTTATGGAGAACTGTTTAGTTTGGTGTTTGCTGACATAACAGAATACAACTAATTTACATAGCCACTACTTCAAATACCTTAATCTAACCTTTGCTCTAATTTTAATAACCTCAAAACTTATCTGCCAAAATCCTTGCACAATGTAACTGTCTTTGATAATGCTTAAACTGTAGCTCCTACCAGTATAACAGTGCTTTCCCCCTAGGTATATCTGGACTCTGATCAATTAGTTATGGTATTATGATTACTTAAAGGTGCTAACAAACCAATTGTTAAAATATTTAGCAAATCATAAAGAATAGCTTTTCCAGGGAGAGAAAGCCAAACCATTAGTATCCATGAAAGGAGCTATCAACATGCTCTGTGCCATTAAACGGTTTTTTTCAGAATATAATCTTTAGAAAACTCATGGTCTACGAGAAACCTTCCACTAATCACAACAGTGACTACGACACAGAAACATCCGTGACACCTTAGTTAACAAGGAAATGAACACTGGGAGAAGAGAATACATCTAACAAAGATGGGCAACAGGGTGACACTGTAGTTGGCTATTCATAAGGACCACAGTTCCTCCTCATGAACCAATACTCCTTACAAAATAAACCATGCCTTAATTATTGCTTACTTAAAATCACACTTTTACAGAGCTATTTAGTACCTGACACAGAAAAACAATCACATAAGGAAGCATTTATTTGAGGTTTAACATGAAATTATACAAATAAAATTTGTATAAACACAAATCCACATTGAATTATAACACATAGCAAAAGACAAAGTAAAAACAAAGAAAACTAATTGGCAGCTATATACAGTTGGATACAGTTGTGTCTTGTACACTAGAAAGTCTTTTACAAAATAATCATCTTAGAGCAACAGAAGACCAATCTTCATTGTTGTCCTGCAAGATGGATTACTTTAGCAATCTCCTCCTAAAAATAAAAACAAAATAGCAATTAGATTTGTGCAACACTGACAAGCTTTCAAAGGTCCACTTTCATGAATTGTTTTAAGTCCTCACTTTATTCTTTTCTTCAATAATTAAAGATCACATGCATATTCATTGGCAAAATGCTTTTTGGGTAAATAATAAATTTGCCCTGGAGTTCCCAAATAATACCAAAATTTAAGTCTATTTAGAAAAGAATCTGGGAATGCAACCTTCCCACATCCACAGGTTGAACTGTGTTAGATTAGTCTACTAGAAGCATCTCTAGTAAACCAAGTAAAATGGTATTACAAACACAAAATTTTAAGATGATTATATTTCAAGAAAAATTGCTGTGTGCATATGATCTTTAACTTATATCCCAGATTTTAAAGTTCTTGTTTTGGTTTGTAGATTTCACTATTAGCTATAAAAAGAAAAAGCAAGCATTAAATCTTAAAGAATGAACACTTAAAATGAGGCTCCACAATTGAAATACAACACTAAACAGAAGACCAAAATGATTAAGCTGTAAAAAGGCATTTATGTACTTTAACTCCTGTAAAAAACCATTTAAGTTAAGTTTAGACACTTAATCTCGAAAAAGATTAAAAAAGAAGCCAAAGTCTGAAGTTTTCCACTTTAATCTTTACGCTGGTACATGAAGTTGGAAGAGACCATACCACAGGACAGCGTTTTCTGGTGTATGCCTTGCGCTCTGCCCGCAACGTGCGACCCCCAGAGATAGACGTGGTCAGGGTGACACACGGCCTGCAATGAAGTTCCCGCTGGCGGGTACAAACAAGGTATAATGTCAGAGTTAGAAGACAACATTCGTGTTTTCCTTAAGTTGTACCCATTTCAGTACTTTACCTGTTAATAGTTCTAAAAAAGTTTAATTATTCCTCTAGACCACCTGGTACACAAAGCAAACAGAAAAACTTTAAAGTTTTTCTGACATACTAAAGAAAGTGAGGTAAAACTTTAAAGTTAAAGATCTATAGACACTTTAGGCAAAACAGGCTAATAAAGCAATTAAAAATTAATAACTTAGTAAAATCAGGCTACATAATATTGTGTTTTTACTCGTTTTTCATTTGTCTATTGATCTTTAAATTAAATCAGACACTTCCACTGGTGTCTTGTACTCTTATACACACCTGTTTTCTCCAATGCCCTCCTTTAGTATGGTTGATAATTGTTTTGGTGATTGCCACCCCCTCGAGATGCCTTGCCATAAGTGCTCTGTTGGCCTATTTTGACAAGAAATTATGTTAAGACAGTTTGAAATGAAATGGTTTCATTACATTATTTAAGAACTATTAAACATCTAAAACTATGCATGCCAATAATCAGATTTTAAAAGCAATTATAAACTAGCCATATACCTCATATTCTCCAACATTTATAACCAGTTTCTATATTGACTACCGTATGCCTTAAGAATATAACTCCAAATACTTCAAAATGGAAAACTGACAAATTTCAGAATGGGAATGTACTTTAACACTAAATTAAGTTAAATGTTCTTACCACTGTAGTCTGCATATCCCTGTCCATATCCATAGTTCCCATAGTTATACCCAGTATAATCATAGCCGCCATAGCCACTATAGCTTTGATCACCACCATAGGCACTATTGTAATTTCCATATCCTTGATCGTAATAGTTATTAAATCCTTGGTTCCAGTTTTGGCCCTGACCTGAAACAATGCACGAGATTGTTAGGAAACAAATTCTGACCCCCCCATTCTAACATCAAATGATGCAAATCTGAACTTTATTTCTGAGAGAAAATATTCTACTCGTTATTAAAAAAAAAGGGGGGGGGGGCCCAGAAACTCCAATTGTGCTAACATCAGGCTTCCTAAATGTAATGGAATACCAGAACAAATATAGGACTGCAAGAACTCCTGCTCAAAAATACCTATCACACCATTTACATTTAACGGCATTATTTTCACATCTGTGATGACACTGTCACAGCACCCATTCTTTGAAAAGGTGAAACCAGTAAACTCAATAAAACCAAAATCCCACCCACTCAACTATACAGTCTTCACGTTAAGACAATTTAAGGCTGGCTTTACTTTCCTATTGGCTTATTTATATTTTGCAGTTTACAGCTTAAACCATTAAGTCATTTCCCAAGAATTTATTCTCACCTCTGCCACGACCCCTAGCACCACCTCTTCCACCAGCTGCAGCACCTCTTCCTCCTTTCTGTTGTTGCTGTTGCTGCCTATATACCTCTTTGGGTTGGGCAACTTTGATTTCACACTACAGAAAAAATTTAAAAGGCAAACAACATTGTTACTGAAGTTCTAACGTTAAGCCATTGTAGTTTCAAAACAGATCGAGAAATTATTTTGCAAAGAAGAAATTCAAAATTCCCACTTAATACAATTACAATGGCTTTACCTTCCCAGAACCAATTTGATGATATCTGCTTTCTAACAATTTCTTTACAGGCTCCTCATCTGTGTATGTGATAAAACAAAAACCTCTTCTTTCATTTGTTTTTGTATCCATGGGAAGTTCAATATTTTCAATCTGAAATTAAAAAGCACTCTTAATCATCCAGCAGCAGTAAAAAGGTACCCCATGGGTTCTTTTACAAGCTTCAACACGTTATTCCAATCAGACAACTTCTGTCTAGAGACTAGTGCTACTTAGTATCAACATCAAAATAATGTTTCATCTGTTAAGCATTTAGAAGGGAGAACAAAACTTCCTCCCTTTAGTGTCATTTTAAACCCCACAAATACCACAAGTCCAAACACTGACCACACCAAATCATCCATGTTTTCGCCAAAATAAATTACAAACTGGTTTCTATACAGCACAGAAGGCAGTGATAAAGGTATGGTGACTGGAAGGAACTCAAGGTGTAGTTTAATCCCACCCTCAGCTGACACAAGTTTATTCTGTAAGAAGTGGGCCAGAAATGAATACTAATAAAACATTAAATATAAAACATACACATACAACCACACAGCGCACCTCACCAAAGGCTCCAAAATATTCTTTAATTTGTTCTTCCGAAGTATCTGGGCTCAATCCACCCACAAAAACCTTTTTGGGGGGTTCCTTCCCTTTTAAAGCTTTGGCTCTTTTAGGGTCTATCAATTTGCCATCCAGTTTGTGTTCCTTTAGTTCCAAAACCTAGAAAACATATTTAATTTGACACCAACATACAACCAACCCTCTCAAGCTGCAAAAAGCACACAAAACACATCCAGGCAAAACACATCCCTACCTTATCAACACTAGCAGCATCTTTGAAAAGCACAAAGCCAAATCCTCTTGATCTTCCGGTGACTGGATCTGTTTTAATTGTGCAGTCCACAACTTCTCCAAATCGAGACAAGTATTCAGTCAGATCTTTCTTACTTGTATCCCAGCTCAAGCCTCCAATAAACATTTTACTAGAAACAAAAGTTGTGGTTTTTTTTAAAAGATTAGCAGCAGCTCAAACGATTACTTCAATTATGGGATTATGTTTAACTAGAAAATAGGTAGAGAAGTTTAATTCCCACACGTAAATAATTTAATCCATGTTAGATACATATTATCACCGCCACAAAAATTTCAAAACCCGTCGAGACGACTTACTCTCCATACTGCATAACACAAAGTTTAAATGAGGCCAAGGCCAACAAAATGTTATAAACACGGCTGCAGTTTAGAAAATCCAACTACCTAAACTAATCCCTCACAAGTTAGGTCCAAGTACATCCTGAGGTGTCAAGCCAGTATTCCACTCAAGGAACTCATTATAAGGCATTTGGGGATGTGTACCACTGCACGCTGGTTCTCAAACTAAGAGTTCTCTAAACTCTTCCCAGGAAAAGTGCGCTGAGCCCCAACAGACACAATGAAGAGGCGGTGGCAGCTGCAGCACGTGGTGCAGCAAGGCGGCCCCTCCCCCTCCAGCCCCACGCGGCGCCTGCGCACTCGAGACACAGACGCCACCGCCCTTCCCCCACCTTCCGCGGGCCTCTCGAGTCATCCCCTCCGTCTCCTACTTTCCTCTTCCCTCCAAGCTAGTGGGGCCCAGCGGGCACGCGGGGAATCGACTCCGGGCAAGAATGTGGGTAGCGCGCGGATCTTGAGGGACGAAGGGCGCGTGCGACGCGCTGAGGGAGAGGGGAGCAGCGTGCGGTACCCGTCATCCTGCTGATTCTTGCTCGCGTTGATCTTGGATCCCTCTGCAAATTCCTCTGTGTTGCTGTACTCGTTCACGTCCTCCATGGTGGCAGAATTGTCGACCGGGAGGTGCTGGCGCGTGATTCGAGTCGCGGCGGCTGCGGAGCGTTGTATGGAGCTGGGTTTAAAATGGCGGCGGAAGAGATCTGGGCGCCGCCTGCGCCCTCCCTTTATAGCCTCCGCGCCCGCCAATCGGGAGGGCTGTTGGGCGGTGACGTGGCGCTGGGCTCGGCGCGCCCCCTGCCGGACGGAGTTGGAAGCGAGCGAAGGGAGTAGTGGGGCGAGCTGCCTTGGCACTCGAGGCCGCCAATGGGAGAGGCTGCGGGAGACTAAAGTAGCGGGAGCGGAGGGGAACAATGGCGGCGGAACATGGGAAAGCCGGGGCGGGACCTCCATCGCAGTCCTCCGGTGAGGGGCAAGTTCGCGGGTGAGGGGACGCGGGCTTGGGATGAGAGAAGCGTCTGAAGAGAAAAACGAAGGGGTGAAAAGTCCTGAGTTCAAAAATCCTGAGCAGCGCGGTCGCAGGCCCAAGTCCCTTCTTTAAGAGCCTTTGTCTCTGGCGTCAGGTCCAGCTCACTCGTAGCAACAGCTGAAAACCCCGCCTTCTTCCGCCCTCCGTCCCCCAGTGTGGAACTGCTACCGGTTAGCACCGTAGCCCGCCAGCTCCAGAAAAAGGGGGACTGCGCCGGCACCGACGGAAGACGCAGCGAGCGCGCCTGCCCATCCGCTGCGCGCAAGCGTATTTTGTCCTCCAGCTGGGTGGAACGAACCGAACGGGAAGCTGGTGTGCTGCAGATCCTAAGGGCAGTTGCGCCGGCGCCTTTTCCGCTACCGCTATAGGCGCGCGAGCCTAGAGGAGGCGGCGGGCCTCCCTAGCCGCTGGACCGGAACCGAGCGACTGCAGTAAGGCCAACCAGGACGCCGCACGGCCTCTTTTGCTGGCTGAGGACGGGAGGAGGGGCGCAAGCTCGGTCGGATACAGAAAATAGGCAAAAACTGAGTCAGTGGGCGGGGTAGGGGTTAGCTGCCGTACGTGGCAGGAGCACTCACATCCCCGTTGCGCCACTCGCGGGGCTCCCATCTGCACGTTCCCCAGTCCTCCCGCTTGCTCAACAAATCTGCGGAGAGCTCAAGCCCGCGCACTCGGCTCCTGAGTTTGCTTTGTTCCCGCCCACCCGAGGCCCATTTTGATGGATAGGCTCGAGACCAATCGGCGTCTACGCCTTTTCTCCTCTCCGCCTCCTCGGAACCCCGCCAGGCCCGCCCTTTTCCCTGCCAAGGTGGTCTGGGCCTCAAGCCCTGGGTACCTCCGGTGTTCCGGTCTTTTACGCTGTTTCCTTCTCCACTTTCTAGGGCCTCTTTTCCTTTTGCTTCAGGCGGGACGGGGTTGACTGCTCCGAAATTCTTGCCGAGTTGTCAGAAGCTCAGGACTGTGCTGGGGGTGCAGTCGGCGTCGCCATTCCTACCAGTAGGCCTATTTCTGTGGTAGCCATCTGGTAGGGAAATGGTCATGCTGTTTGTGCCCGCCGAAGTGTCTGTGATCCTGTTAGATATCGAAGGTACCGCAACCCCGATTGCTTTCGTGAAGGTGAGGGGGCGAAAGGGAACGGAGAGGTTACTTGTGCTTAAAAACAATTCAGAAAATTTTCAGTATTGCAGACCTAGTACACTAGAGACGCCAGAGGTAGGAGAGGCAGTGTGGCTTTGCGCCCGCTGCGGCGGGTTGCGGGGATTCCTTTTCTTACGACACTGTCTCACCCTTCCCCGCCCCTGTCCTCGGTAGATATAGTTAGGTAGGAAGGGATAGAGGTTGTGATGAAAAGGGGTGAAGGAAGGAATGGTCCGCCGTGGCAGGGTGAGACGAAGTGTGTGTCGCTCGCGGGGACAGGTCGAGTGCCCGCTTTCTGCTTGGTTGCATCTGGCGAGGTGGCGGCCTCAAGCTGGTAGTCTTTGAGGCTTTTAGTTCCGCAAAATAGAATGACTGAAGTGTTATCATGACGTCTCAGGTATCCCTGGTTTCTTGTGCCTTATCCTATAATCAATTGATTATTTTTACTAATATTAACTATTAATGTAATATAGTATTAATTTGTTATACATTAATTTATTAAAGTCTGTTTTTAAAAAAGTATCTTCATCTAAAAGTATTTTCAGAAGAACATTAGGTCTGTGCAGACGTATAAAGTAATCATGCGAGAGTGTTCCATTATTAAATGCACTTTTGGGAAATGTAAACTTTATTTAAAAACAATTGTAGAGCTTTGTTACACACACCTGCCCACACATACATGCTGTGTGAGTCTTGGAGAAAGTGTCATCTTGGCCATGGCTGGTGTAGCTCAGTGGATTAAGCACAGGTCTGCAAACCAGAGAATCGCAGTTCGATTCCCAGTCAGGGCACATGCCTGGGTTGCCTGCTGGTTCCCTGCAGGCCAGTTCCCAGTAGGGGATGCATGAAAGGCAACCATGCATTGATGTTTCTCTCCTTCTCATCTAAAGATAAATAAGTAAAATCTTTTTTTAAAAAAAGAAAGTATTGTTGTACAAATCTACTTGAACTAAAACCTTCGGCAAAGTAATTTTAGCTTCTGAACACCTTCTAAAGAGAGTGCTATGTTATATTCTTCTTGAACCTCTGAGCACAGAGCTGGGAATTGGGATTAATCGCATTAGGTGTGTGAATTTGAGGCACTATATCCTGTGGAATGATGAAAGGAAACAGTACTTATACATGCAGCTTGTATACTTGATTCATCCTTAAAAACTGAGGTGTCAGCAACTGTTTGCATTGTACTGATAGGAAACTAGGGCTCTGAAAAATTGAATAATAGCTAGGGGGTTGAACCTGTATTGTCTAGCTCAAAAACTCTTTTTCTGTTATTGCACTTGATCTCTGAAATGGAAACCACAGTTCTTATTTTGTTTTTGCTTGGCTGCTGTGTTTGTTAAATGACACAGTTGATATGAGAGAACTTTAAACAATATAAAGTAGCATAAAAGCATATTGTAGGAAATTTCAGTTTACACTTGGTGATAAACGTTTAGGAGTGAACCGTTGAACCAGAAAAACTATAATGATTCTTACATTATTTGGGCATTTGGTTTGAAAATTGAGTAATTGTTAAAAATTGTCCTTGTACCCTTCAGAAGTCACTTCTTTTTGGAGGCTGATTTCCGTCTTTCGGTAAGTCATAGGCAGTCATTTTTCCTTTAGTGTGGAAACAATCCCTGCTTCCCTTGAGCTCCAGAGAAAGTAATTGGTTTATGGTTAGATGATATAAATAAAAAAATACATTGTGTCAAACATTAGCCTCACACTGTAAGAGAGACTGGGGAACAGAATACCCTCATTTAGTGGAATGGCAGACAAATTGTCAGCACTTGTTATGGTTATTTTTCCCTTTCTTTCCTTTCTTTTCCCCTTTTTGCTGAGCCCTTACAGTTGATGAGCTTAAGTATGCAAAATAGCACTGATAGTCTAGGATCCCTCATTGGATTCTGTAAAATCCCCCCAGCCTAGGAAGAGGTGTTGTGTGGATAGCCTGTTGCTCTATCTGATCGTGCCTCCAGGCAACAGGGGTTTTACACCAGCCATTATATCTTTTTCTCTGAGTCAGAGTTGTCAATTTTCTATAGCAGGACGGGCTCCTAGCTCAGATTGTTTGGTGAGTTTTGCAACCAGCTAATTAATTTCTTCCATGAGTCAATTGGTACCTATAGGAACATCCTGTGTGGGGATCATCACAGCTTGGGGGCAGAGCAGCAATAGAACCCATATTTCCTTAGATGTTCCCACTGCATCTGAGTCCTCAAAGCAACCAGCCCTGAACCTCACTGCAGGACATGTTCCCCTGGAGTTTGTTTTCAGATACTGACTCTGATCCTCTACAGTGGTGATATCCCAACGTTTTTTGGTCTTGTACATCATCAGCAGAATTGGAGCAAGCACTACAAATAGAATTTATAAGTTGTGTACAAATATTGTATTATCATTAAGTTGTGAAATAAATTGGAACTTAAAGATTAAATTATAAATATAGGTAAATGTTATATTCCCTTCTTTTACCCCACTGATTCATCTGCATGCCTCTGGAGTATATGCACCCCATAGTGTCTCTTCTTTCTTGCTCTTTGAACATGGCAAGATGTAATGTTTGTTTTCTGAAATTGTGTATTGCATTATTCTAATGTTATTTTTTTTTAGTTTTATTGATTTTAGAGATAGAGGATGGGAGAGAAATGTGATTTGTTGTTCCACTTATTTATGTGTTCATTGGATGCTTCTTGTATGTGCTTTGACCAGGGATCAAACCTGCAGCCTTGGTGTATCAGGACAATGCTCAAACTGAGCTACCTGATCAGGGCATCATTATTCTAATGTTTTTAGTCTTTATGCCATGAAATAACACCATCATCAGCCCCTGTAGTTATCCTGTCAGGAACCGTTAACTACTGTTTGAGTTTGGGAAAAATGATCTCTTGTTCCTGAAAATGCTCTGTGATTTGGTGGCTTTCCTGTTGGTATATGTTGAGTTGGTACATGTAAAAACAGTTGCATGCTATACTGTAAAGTTACTGAGAACAACATATTAGCAAATACTGAATTATTGCCTCTAGAGCAGGGGTATCAAACTCATTTTCACCCAGAGGGCCACATCAGACTTGTGGTTGCCTTCAAAGGGCCGAATATAATTAGGACTGTGTAAATGTAACGACTCCTTAACTGCTAAGCAAGACCTCAGTGCTGCCATGGTAAAACAAGGTAGAGGGCCCAATTTGGCCTTGTATTTGCCGCCTGTGCTCTAGAGAAAATACAGGGTTAGGTTCCTGTGAGCCTCGGGACACAACATTTTAATCAGCTGGTTATTATATAACGTTTTATGTGTTTCTGTTTACCTTATTTAATATATACTCTTTTTAAAAAGTGATTTAATTAATTTTTTTAGAGAGAGGGGCAGGGAGGGAGAAAGATAGAAAAAACATTAATGTGCAAGAAATACATTGATCAGCTGCCTCTTGCAGGCCCCCAACTGGGGACCTGGCCTGCAACCCAGGCATGTGCCCTAACTGGGAATTGAACCAGCAACATTTTGGTTTGCAGGCGGGCACTCAGTCCACTGAGCCACATCAGCCACGGCTAATATATATTCTTGATTCATTAACATTGAACTTGTGGACAGTGGCACTGTAACTTGTGATTTAACAAAGCTTATCTTGTTTTCTACACAAGGCACATCAAAGCTTTCTTGCACTTAGGAATACTAGACAGTGATTGGCCATTTTTAAACTGCAAAATCACCAATAAAAAGTACAAAATGTGAAAAATATGCCACTAATTAGACTCTGAAAAGAGTTTAAAACATGAGCAGTGAAATAAGGTAAGGCATCACCATGTG